CATGCGCCTCTAGAGGGAGGAAGGAATCAAAAGAGCCGCCCTCTATTTTCAGATTCAAGAAGTGATTAGGTTGACATGTAGTCTAGAGAAACTGGCAGAGGCTGAGGGAGAGGCAGCTAGATGTGGAAGTCAAACCTGATTAGGCCCACCTGCCAGGTCTATCTTTGTTCCATCACTCCTCCCTGATTGCTTGGTGGGAGCCTTCCTCTCTTTCTCAAACTCTCCCCTCACTCAGCCGCTACACTATCAGTATTGACCTCAGCGGACTGCTGTTGCCCCTTGGCCAATCAGCATGGTCGCCCTGGCGGCTGCAAGATAATTAAACATGAATTGTCTACTTGGCATGTAAGCTGGTGGGCACAGGGGTAGACAAACACTTTCTCTCTTTGCTTCCCTGCCTTCCCCCCCATCCAGGTGGTACAGGCGTGCAGGACCTGTCAGATTAGCTGATGACCCTTTTAATTCTACCCCAGCCGGGGGCCATAATTGATATTTACCAGGAAAGGTTAATTGTGGTAGTGATCTGCTTAAATTACAGTGGAGATCAGGAGACCAGGGCCAGACACCACACTTGCCACCGGGGGAGCTACTACACACTCACTCCTAGTCAAATGGATTACACCCCGCAGCCATCGCTGTTGTACTCCAAGATGGAGGAGTAAAGAGAGATGTTTTCATTGGCTATTCTGCATCAGCACTGAGTCCCCCTCGCTGAGTTCACTAACCTCCCATCTGGCTGGGAATTTGGATGCCAGTTCTGTGACTTGACAGGCTGCAAGAAAGCAAAGCATTTATGTTGGCATTGTAAGGGTAACATTGGTGCAGTTCACAGGATACACTAGTTTTATGGTTATGTTTGTCTACAGTAAATGGACTACTAATGAAAATACAAGTGTGTATACCTTTAAAGGGTTGTTTAAGGATTGACACTGGAGGATCCCACTTTCCAATCGGACCGTAATCCTAAATAATATACCTAAGTCCATATTTATAAACTAAAACAGTAAAGCCTGGTGTGTTTTATGCTGCCTTCATGTGGGCTGGTAAAGATGATCCTCCTGACTTCTAAAGTGGAAATTACCCCCACATTGTGTTCAAGTGCGTTTGTTGTTGAAGAGAAAAGAAACATGTTGGATCCAAAGATTATCCTTCCCTGAGCAAGACAGTAATAGATTTCCTGATTCATCTGCTACAGGAAGAAGAAGATGCATCAAATGCATGGACTGACTGCTAGCGAGTATCTGATAAAATCAAACAAAAGCACTCATTTCAAAAGCGTTTAAAGTAGTGACTTTTTTTATATATATATTGTATCGTATTGTATTGTAAACAATACAAACACAAATGGAGAGAAAGCATAATGACGCAGTACAATACAGAATAGTTTCTCTGCTCTCCTCCTTGTTGAAAGGTCAAAGTTCACCTCCTCTCTCCAACTCGGGTATCATAGAACTTTTCCAGCTTTCTAATGAAAATTATGACATGAGTGGGTGTTTATGTGCAATTTTGATGTCGGCTTTTGGTATTTACTATAATACCACATGAAGGCAGAATTAGTTCAATATAAGGGCATGTTATACTCCCGCAGCAGTGTGTCGCAGTGAGTCAGTCGCAGATATTTTTGATTTATGCCCACTTTTAAAGCCTGGTCTGCGCTATGTTATTCCACGCCACAACGCAAGAGGGACAATCACGAACTAGCTAGGATTGTGGGTGTCCCTGTGTTGGTTTGACGAGCTTGTCCGCGATCTACAACTGCTCATCTAGAGCACGACGACATACAGTTAATCCTTGAGTGTTTCCGAAAGACTAAGCATCCTGTACAGTGTCTGGGATAGTGTCTGAGGCGTGCCAGACAGCACTACAGCCAGAGTTTCGGCCATTAGGTTCCACACAGGAAATACGCATAGTGTAGAGCGGATGTAGAATTAACCAATCAGAGGCCTGCTTTTTCTCCTCCATGTGACACTATCTGCAGCACTGTCTGCGGTCACCTACAATTTTGGGGAGGTGTAACAGAGTATGTGCGGAATGGGGGATATCGGCGTTAACTGTGAAATGAACGCAGGCAACCTTGTTTCTGAGTATAAACCAGACTTTAGACCACATACATCCCGACCCCAATATATAATCTGTATTTTAAAGCTTTCCTTAACATTGTGTGATGCCATCTGCCACACAGTTGGGTGAAAAAAACAGAAGAAAGTAGGTTTCTGAGCGGAGAACTTTGCTCTCTGAGAGCTTTTCTCATTGTGTAGGATTCTTAAGTTTCTTAACACACATTTCTTAACAATTGATGATAGCAAATTAATAATTTGTGAAATAAAACCTCCAAAGTAAGTCTGAAAATTCTGCTTTAAAGCAAATTTAAAAAAGCTTTAAAGCAAACTATTAAAAACACTTTGAAGTCATTAACTTCCACTACTCCATCTAATATCATAAAAGATGCCACTTCAGCAATTAAACGTTTTCATGTTCTGATTTAGATCCACCAGTTTTCCAAAGTCACCTAATTAGTAAACAAGCTTTATGTGAGCTTTTTTTACTCTCAGTGTGGAGCCAGTTCTTCCTCGAAGACCTCAGAGGTTTACGAGGAACCATTAAAAAAGAGGAAGCAGAACAAGAAGAAGGGACACAACAGACGAGTCATACAAACAATTTAAAACAGGGTCTTCCAATAATATTTCAAGATTTAAATATCTCACTTAAAAAAGAAAGAAAATGGAACAACTGGTCAGCTTCCAAGACATGGTCATCCTCCCAAACTGACAAGGCTGGTTAACATGGAGAAAAAGGCCCTGTTGTCAGAGGAAATTAATTCAGTTCTTTGGTCAACATACAAAACTTTAATGCTGCAATTCATCCTGAACATATGTAAAACACGGTAGTGGTAGAATCATGTTTAGGGAGCTACTGGTAATAAATTTAATAATAATTAGACTATTTGAATCTGGGACTTGAAAAAAAATCTGAATCAAATATAAAACGACATAATATATATATTGTTTTTTGTTACTTTTAATTCATGTGCTGAAGGACATCATTCTACAGACCAGCTTACAATTACAACCATGACTGACCTTCTAGTTGCAAGAAGGATTTTTTCATTATACAAAATCAATTTGTCATATCTTTAAAACATGGTAATGAATTTAAAATATTCCTTTATTGATTACAAACTGAGTCAAAGGAAAAAAAGGCTGTTTCCTGTTATTTTGGTTCTTTAGCACGTTCCTCAGGTCCAGTTTTTATATAAAAGTGATGGAGTGGCTGCCTCTTTCTACCTGCAGCAGACAGCAGGGTGTTTGTATTTAACTGAAGCAGCTTAACAAGCTGCACTGCTTCAGTGCTTCAGACTGTTAAGTAACATGTTCTAACTAATTTGACATTTTAATTGTTTTTATATTAACCATAAACTGATAACAAAGGTTCATGAATGAATTATTCACATCAGTAAACTAACATTAAAGGGGACAAATATTGATTCCTGCTCTTTTCCTAACTAGTTATTTTATGGGGAAAGTTATGTGTCTCTGCAGGTCATCATCCTATGAAGCTAGAGATAAATAACAATTAAACTCATTTAATAACTGTATTAATATTAATATATTAATATATATAAATTGATATTATAAGCTTAATTGATATAATTTAGCAGAGGATTTTTGTCAGAAATGTAAGGAAGAAAATGACCATGTCACTTATTTTATGAAGTGCACATGTACAAAACTATCCTATCTACTCTTCTACCATTTGATCAAAGAATCCAGATTCTCTCCAGTTATATCAATTTCTTCTGATGCATTTCCTTGTCTCTCAGAAACTTGTTTAACTGTTTACTTCTTGTGACTCTGCCATTGTGTGAGCACAGTGGAACTAGAGCCAATGGAAGCTAGAAGAGATCAGTAGATGAGACGATTAGCAAGAGGTTAAGGAAATTTGGATCTGTTGTTATATGGAAAGTAGGTGAAGGTCTTCATTTTCCTGTCGCATCACTATAAATTAACCCTGAACTGGTTTTGCTTAGGCTTTTTTATAAAAATAAAAACGTGCCCAACAGTTCATAGTTGGAAAACCCAGCAGGCATGATTTTATTTGATTTATAGATTTATTTATTATTATTTTTTTTTTAACCGTGTCCTGTCTGGCACTGTGGCAATAATAATAATTTTCTTGATGCCAAAAAGAGCCCAACAGATTTTACTTTCACAACTAAGTTGTTTCATGCATATAAATTGCTTTATTATAATTATGCAGGAAATTTTACAGTTTATATGGACAGTGCAATGTAAATAGAACAGAAGAAGAAAAACAGAAGAAGAAAAAGAAAAAAAAACAAGAGAAAAGATGAAAGAAACAGGAGATAGAAAGGAGACAATGAAAAAACATTTTCAGTCTGCTTCATCACCTGCAACGAGATGCAAAAAAAACCCAGCACAACCGAAAAACATGGTACGAGACATAGAATAAATCAACACCTTGAAACTATCGCTAAAGTAATATTATTCAGTCTGACATGTACTCTGTGTTACCTGAAGATATGAATGTGGGCTTCCTGTATGGAAGTGAATCTCTGAGTACCTGGAACCAAGCACCTGTAATTGTTTGTGAGAGTGCACTTGTGCATGTAAAGTTTATCCATAGAGAAAATGCTCAATAGTGGTTGTGGAGAGCCGAGGAGGCGCCCCCCCAGAGCACCAAGTCCAGCGCCGGGAGACCCAAAGCCCCAGGTGCCCAAAGGGACCCCAAGAGCGAAGATTTATAGATTGGTTGATTGACTTTATTGATCTCATAGTGGAGATTTTTTACTCCTTACATCAGCTCAAATAATCAAAGGACAAGAAGAAGGTGACGAAGGAATAAAAAGGTGCATGGGATACATTTGTGCGTTTCCCTGTAAATGAGAGTCTCATACTTTTTTTTCTCAGTTGTTTTTGGCTCTGAAGGTGATTATGCAAAGGAAATTTGAAACATGACATTTTTTCTTGTGTGTTCGGCAGATCAAACCTTTGGCACCACTTCCAGTTAAACTAAGAGACGACGAGACATTGCAAGACCTTAGTCGGCCGCACCGGAGCAACTCCAAGGAGCAGCTCAGCGAGGTAAGTCCATATAACAAGAAAGCTTCCCTTTCCACAGACCTCCCACCCAGAACTGGAGTTTTTATTCTCACAGACTTAAGTGCAAGAATCCGTAAAATGAGATTTAGGACAGAGGACAGCAGCACTGATTGTTGATCGAGGCTGAAACAAGGGAACAGGTGGTGCAGTGTTGCTCCTGGTGCTCTCTGCTCAAAGAGCCTCTGAATATTAACAAGGAAACACAGGAAATGATGAAGCTAGTTACACAGCAACGGCTAGTTGGCCTGTTGCTAAATGTAGAGGTGACTAAACATAATTCAGCTCGGTGTGAGCTGACCCTGCCGACCCCAGAATGGAACAAGTTTAAGATTTGTTCCAATTATCGCTTCGCCGTCATCCATATAGAGGCCCATTTAGCCAGATGAGTAGGCGGCGCATCAGAATGGAAGCAGGGCATACGCTTCAGCATAAGGAATGAAATAATGCAATTTAGAAACAGGGAAAGTAATGAGAATTTATGCAAAATCCCGAGCGTCTCGTTTTAAAAAGAACGTAGAAATATGATTCTTAACTACAGCCTGTGGAGCAGGCCTCCCAAACCTAACCGAATCTGATTGTTCATTTAGCTGCAGAGAGCCTGTGGAGAGGAGGGAGGAAAGGGGGGGGGATCCCTTTCCTGTAGAGGAGGCTAATGTTAAAAACAAAACAAAAAAAAATAATAATAAAAACTCATTAAGTTCATTGTTTTAACCTATTCAGTTTTTTTGTTTAAGAAAAAAAAAGGTCTTAGAAAGATTTGAAAAAACATCTACCAGGCTAATTTTTTTCTAATCTTCATCCTTTTCTTTGCTGAGCTGTTCAGCGCCCCCCTGCACACATCCCCCACCTCCCCCCCACCACTTCTCCTCATGCTGTTTCTCTCAAATTTGTATAAAAGGGTGTCTCTTAATGAAAAAGTCAGGAGGAAGAGGCGGGCATGTCAGATAAAAGACCGGCGCTTGTTGACAGCTCTGACAGGGATATACGACAAGCACTGGGAGGGAGGGGGGAGGGAATGAAAAGGGTGATGGGAGTGGCAGTGGTTGTGGTGGTGGTTTGGGGCGGGGGGGGGGAGAGAGAGCTGTGCTGTTGAAAATTGCACGCTGTAATCGCCGTCGGTGTTAGATGTGGCATTTCTCTCTAATCTGTTGCCAAATAAACGGTGCAAAGACGCTGATCGCTGTAGCCACGCCATCTCCTTCCATCCATCTTTCCCTCTGCCTGTTCTTCTCCCTCTGTTCTTCCATATGTCTGCTTTTACTTCCATTTTCCTGGCTGTGTTGCACTTACTTAAGGCCTGACAACATTCCTACCCACCACATTGTCTCCATCTTTTTCTTTTTTTTTTCCTTCATGAAATCTCAAAAACCACACTGAAAAGTGCTGTTAATTTTCATAAAACGTGCTCCACCACATCAAAGTGGCTCCCTGCATTAAGAGCTCTTGACTAATGATGCCGCATGGGCAACGAGTTAAAACGAATTTCCCTTGTCTTGCTACCAAAGGAATGGGAGACAAATGTTACATGCACATAGTGGAGCAGGCACACCCGCCTGTAAAAACAGTCATGCATCAATTTGTTAGCCAGAGGGGGGGGGCTAAAAAAATTGTAGGGGGATGATGTTTGTTCATCGCCACGGTGGGGTCTTTATCTGCTTATTTTGACTAGGTAATTGTGCCTGCAGCGGGGCTCTGCCACTAAGCCACAGAGGGATTAGGGAAATGTAAGGTGGCTTCCACTGCTTGTGTGTCCTGCAGAGAACAGGGCTGCTGCTTCACACACACCCAGACCCACCCCCCTGCTTCATCCTCCTGTCCTTAAGTTTCTGCCGCTGGGGGGAAACATACAGCACCTTTCTCCTCGTGGTTCCAGAAGCTCTGATTGCCTGCCCCTTGGCTTCCCTGCAGCAGCAGAAACCATCATCCGAAGAAGACGGACTGGACACTCCCCTCCTGTTGCCTTGTTTTCCTTCTTCTTTTTTTTTAAGAGATTGGAGGAGGAGGCATGGGAATAGGGAGAGGATTAGGGGATGGATTTAGCAACATTTTTGTTCTCCTAGGCTGTTTAGTTAACCCTTAAATGTTGCCAGCATCCGCCCCGTCCCTCTCGCCATAAACCACCATAACAACCACACATACACACGCCACCATCCCCCACTTTCTCTCTCCTGGGCGGTTCTTAAATCCTTTTGAAGTCCTAAGCGCTGCAGAAATCCATTGAGAGCCATGTATAATGGCTTTTAAAGAGAGAGTGTTTAGCTGTATGCCGACCCTATGGCTTATGAACCGCTGGCGTTTTAATGGATCCCCCTTTTTCCCCTCCCCTGTTTTTTTTTCCTCTCCTTCACCAGCACTAAATCCAATGGATTGTCTCTCATTATCATTTAAATAAGCCTCTCTTTCTACTCAGAAGTCTCCAATTTGAATGAACTCTACATAGTAAGACTAATTCCAAATGGCTCTGGCCTCCCTCCACCTATACACATATGCTCTCACACAAACACATGCATATAGATTTGAGCTGACAGAACAGCATGTTTCCATGGAAAGAAGAGCACATGATGCCTTCCTGTTGGTCCTTTTTGTATTTCCAGATTTTTTTTCTCGCCTTCAGTGCTGCCTTGTCTTCTCTCTCCTCTGCTCTCTTCTCCCTCACTGTGACGGTGAGGGGTGCAGAGAGGCTGAGGAGAGCAGGAATAGCCTTTTGATTCCCACAGGGCCTGCTTTCCGGTTCGCGGCAGGACTCCTTGGTAATCGTCGCCACAGGAGCTGTCCTGCGAATCAGAGGGGCACACAGGCGTTGATGAGGGCTGATGCCTAGAGCAGGTGTAGGTGAATAGTTGAGGGGCACTGGGAGAGTGCAGAACAAGGGAGGCAGGGGCAGCAGAGGTGTGGGGGAGGTCATTTCGGATTGAAGGTGGACCTATGGATGAAATTGCTCTAGCAGAAAAGTTCCCTCCAGAGACCAAGGGGGAGCAATTGCCAATCTAGTCAGAGGAATAAAAGCAGTGAAAAGTGGAAGTGGAGGAAGGGATTTGGAGATTGGTATTCGTGCTGTGCTGTGACACACAGAGAGCCAGAAAACAGAACAAAAGCCTGCTTTTCTGTCCGCATCCTGCTTTGTTTCACATTTAGGGCACCATGTTAGAAAATGCAGGGTTAGCTTGATGTACCAAAATTCTTCCAGAAATTCATAAAGAGATAAGCATGTCTAATCAGTAAATCATTGAGGGAATTATGGAAATATAAAGAATTAGATCAAGTAATAATGTGAGGTAAATGGCATTAACTAAAGTGCCATTCACATTAGTATTCCAGTTTTTAGATATTTAATGAACAAATATTTACAAAAGAGCTGTTCTCAAATAATATTTGTTTAGAAATGTATCTCATCTTTGACAAAAACATTTAGCCAAGGCCTACATTAAAATACTTCCTACAATCGTCTAATCTTAAGCTTTGCCCAGTTTATATTTGAGGCAAAATTATTGTACAAACTAAGACCGAAAATAGAAGAACGTGTTTAGTATTGTACTACTTAAAACTGATAAAGATTAGTCAAAATGAATTTTTCCTCGAATGGAGGCTAGCATAATAACATTTTGTTTTAGATTTTTTGGCATTTCTTAAAGTTTGTTTTTTATTTAAATCACACGTCCTTTACGGTTCAGTGTCAATAGATGAATATGTTGCTGTAAGGTTTAAAATATTAAATTCCTGAGAAATGCATTTTTTCCACATTTACACCTATAATTTTTTACCAGTTTTCTCCTACTTGACCTCCTGATTTTAACCAATACTCAGTCTCTTAAAGAACCTTCAGGTCACTTAAGGTATGAAAGCAAATATTTTCCTCTTATAAAGCTTTCATTAGCTCTACATTTTCTAAATTCATTTTTCAAACTTTAACTGCTACTGCCAATGGGGTATTGTTATGCTTAGCTTGGTATCACCACAGTGAAGAGGGTTGTACTGTAGGTCGGATGTATCCCATATTTCCAGTCAATTAACGTGCAAAATTTAAGCAAGGCTCGAACATGTTGGAAGAATAAAAAGGCTTGCTTCCCAATGGTTTGGAGTTTATTCAAACTGAAAATGACGATGGAACATGGCAATAATAATTAGGAAGTAGAGGTAGCAAACTAGCATAGACAACAGATCAGTAATGAAGCAAGGTTTTTTATGAATGCAGAAAAATGTTGCAATCCTGATGCTTCCATTCAGGAAAGAAGGCCAGCAGTGGAAACAGTTTATCAGTATTTCTGCAGCATCACGCAAATGGTTTAAACCAATTTGAAGAACAGGAACTCTTTTGTGTCAGTAGGTAACTTTACATCAAAGACCACAAAAATCACATGTGACGTTCCCCAAGGATCCATCTTAGGGTCGCTTTTATTTACATTTGTATCTCCCCCTTACTCAGATCTTAATAAACAACAACACAAATTAATCCTTTGTAGATGACGTACAGCTGTATATTACCCTGTCACCAGGTGACTATGAATATATTCCAGCGTTGGCTAAATGCATGGAAGAAATCAAAGCATGGATCTGCCAAATTTTCCTTCAACTGAATCAAAACAAAACTGAAGTAATTGTTTTTGGACCAAAAGAAGACTGATCCAAAGTTAACACACAGCTTCATCTAATACATCTACAAATCAACAATCAGGCTCGTAATCTGGATATAATGATAGCTTCCAAAAGATTCAAAACCAAAATTTGCTTTAAATCAAGATTTAAAATAGTATTTTTCTGCTCCATCTAAACATTATTAGCAATGTTTCCAGTCCAACTTTACTTTCTCTTTTACCATAATCTTTTTTTGTTATATATAATCGTCTTGTTTTAATGATTCATTTCATATTCTCCTTAATTTTCTGTTGCCTTTATGCTACTGCATTTCACTATTCTTTTTTTCCCCTGTACAGCAATTTGAATTGTAGTTACTACTGACGTGCTGTTTAAATAAAGTAGCCTTGCTTTGCTTCAGAACCAATTCTACAAATGTGTCTCTTAGTGCATCTACTCCTTCACTGAAATGTCAAAAAACCTCCAGTATGTGTGAAAATAATTGTGTGAAATGTAGTAATTTGATTAAAATGTTACCATCAAGCTGTTCTAAAGTGATACATAGAAATGTGCATAAGAAACATTGATTGGAACCTGTCTTTTAACCGCGTGTTTAAGTTTCAGCCGGCTAGTTTTCAATTAGGACAAACAGGAAACTGTTCATTTCCAGTAACCTGAAAACCTCTAATGCTTTGTGTCTCATTAATCACTAATGCCAAACCTCTTCTGTTGGATAAACCTCTTCTACATTTAGATTTATTAAATGCTTCGAATTGCGTTATTAGCTGGTGTTGTGTATTATGGTTAGCTTGGTCACTGAGCCCAAAAATGAGAAAATCCTGCTGCTTTTCTGATTTGAACGCAAATCTGATTCAATCAGGTGTGACTTCATTCCCAGTTACCCTGACAGACTGGAAGGGTTCTCCTCGTATTTCCTTTTCTGTCCATGTTGAAAGAAAAAGGGCGGAATGTGTGCAGGTGTGGGGTTCATGACAGGATGGCTAAAAGGTTAACGTGAATATTGATGTTAATGCGCCGTTGCTTCATCATGTCTGTGAGAGTGAGTGAAACGCCCCTCAAAGGTCATCCTTGTTCTCCTCTCTCTCCCTACAGAGCTCCACTCACTCTCTGTCAGGCCGCGGATACTCGGTTAGTGACATTTTCATGCTTCATAGCTTTACGGCTGAATTACAATCTCCAACGACTCGCTTTATGGCCCCAGCGCTCAACATTTTAATTATGTTAAATAGAGTAATGGAGAAATCATGATATTAGGGACATTAATTCTGGCTGACTGAATGATTAAATTGTGAGGTGTCCTGCACTACCTTGACGAAAAAGGCCCTCGCTTTATGGGCATTGATCAGCTCCATCCGCCAGGAGTGCAAATTGGCAGTCAGAGTTTTATATCTTCCCATACTAGCTGTCAGTCTAGCATCCTTATGTTCACTGTGGTATAAATCTAAATGTCCCTTAACTAAGGTAAGATATGGGAAGCTTAATTTGGTCTTTTGTCTATCTGGAAACTTTAGTTCAAAGTTTCTAATGCTTCAATGAAAATAAAATTAAGTAAATAAATTCTCTATTTTCTGTTATAGATCAACAGAATAAATGCCAATATTAGACAAATATAATCTGGGTAAATAGAAACAAGTTTTCAGCTTGTGATCTTTTTTTTAAGATGTTCTTATACTGTCAGCCTTTGTTTAATAGTTATGCTACATTCACACCGCATGCAGCAGGAGCAGCAAATACATGCATGCTGCTTCATTTTTGATGTCTGTACAAGTTTAGTTCTGACGTGCGGCTGAAGCATCTCTGCTGCTCCAGTTGCACGGTGGTAAAATGGGTCTGATGCGCGTTGGGCGGAGCTACCATATCATTTTTTTGCATTTAACAATGGCAGCTATATTTGCTGTTATAAGTAGGTAAAAACTAGTTTCTGTGCAGCCAGTTCATCAAGATTGTGATCCTGCCTTCAAATATTGTTTCGCTGTCAGAGCCGCTAAGACCCCCACACACTGGCGGCAGCTGTCACTGGGAATCCTGTTAAACAGCAGCCTCTGGCCAAGTCCCCTTTTCGCAGTTTGCCGCTGAAAGTTGATGTTAGTGTTTTAAACATATGTAATCCAAACTGCAGGCACCAGAATAATAAAATTTAACATATTTTGCTGGCAGGTTTTGACATTTTACTTTAATTTAGGCGTTAATAAACTGTTTCAGTGATCTTGTAAGCTCCATCGGCACTGCTGTGTCTGTCTCCCTGCCAGTTCCCGGAGACAGACACAGCAGTGTCTGCAGATCAGCCTCTCTGATTGGTTGATGTGGTGCATCGAGCAGCAAAAGTTAAATTTTTTTAATCTCCAGCAGCTTCTGCCTCTGAAGCGCATCGCATTCATCAGATGCTCAGAAGCTTATGACGCGCTGCTTCAGCTGCTCAGACGCGCTCTGGGACCTTTTGCTGCACCAAGATGCGCTTCAACCATTGACTTTGCATGGAAACTAGCTGCTTCTCTTCTTGCGGTGTGAACATAGCATTAGTTGAGGAAGTTAGAGCCAGAAGGGTTTGTGTTTCTTTTTTTTTCTTTTTTTTTTTATTTGGAAAGACAGATTTCCATTACATCAGTAATCACAGCTTCATCCATTTAAGATTATAACTGAAGATATAAGCAGAAAGTCCAAGTGGTTTTGTCCATGTTGCCTTTCTGGTATTTTTAACAGAATATTACTAACTTAATTGTAAAGATAACAAAAAATTAATAGAATTAAACAGTAATGGGGATTGCACCACCTCGAGTAATAAAAACTACAAAGACATAAGAGGGCAAGACATATTTCAGAAGAACAATCAAATGAAGTCGGATCTAGTTGGTTTCACGTACTCACTCCATTTGGACCAAATCATATAAAATTTTTCTTTTTCTAATTGGAGGGAAAAACAGATCCTTTCCATCACATAAATCTGGTAAACAATTTCAATCCATTCATCAATAGTGGGGGGGTCTGGTTTCATCCATTTCCTTGTGATGGCCTTCTTACTGGCAGCCAGTAGCGTAGCCAGCAGTTTTTTAGAAAGGGTTGTGTTTCAATTCTATTAAAGGCACACTATGCAACATTTTTCAGTTAATTAATGTGTTCCATAACGTTTTGGATGATTAAATTAGTCATTTCAGGTTGAACAAAGGTTTTCTCGGCCGCCCTGGTGGTCTGTGGGGGAAATACTGCACTTGCAATTGCAGGAGCACCGACCCGCACCCACAGGCTCAGAAGTCTCGTGAGAGTCAGTCTTGCTTTACGGCGAGAACTGCTACACGCCCCCAGTTAAAAGCATTCTCGTTGCTAGCACAGTGGCAATCTTTGTGCAATTATGCTACGTTCACGCAGCAAAAGCAGCAAAATCGTGTCTGCTGCTTAATTTTTGCTGCTTGTACCAGTTAGTTCTAACGCGCGGCTGAAGCAGCTTTGCTGCTCTGGCTGCGCGGTGCAAAAGTGTGTCTGACGCGCGTTGGGCGGAGCTTCACTATCCTTTCTCTGCCTTGCAGCTGTATTTGCTGTGATCAGTGGGAATAAAGTAGTTTTAATATGTGTTTAAATGAGAAAATACACCTGAAAACGTACTCAGTGCCGTCAGTTCATTCAGATTATTATCCTGCCTTCAATATTTTTTCTGTCGGAGCCGCTCAGACCCCCACATACCAGCGGTGCGCCGACAGAAGGAACCCCTTCATCAGCAGCCTCTGGCCAGGTCGCCTCCTCGCGGTTCACCGCGGCAGCTGGTAGGTGTTTTTCATCTAAATAATCCAAACTGCATATTCTGCCGGCAGATTTCTGCATTTTAAGTTAATTTAGGCGTCAATAAACTGTTTAAGAGGAGAGATCATAGCCTCTGATCATCAGCGCTGTGTCTCTCTCCATGCTTCAGCTGCTCAGACGCGCTGGGCCTGCTGCTCAAAACGCGCCGCGGGACCTTTTGCTGCGCCTTGACGCGCGTCAACCATTGACTTTGCATGTAAACTCGCTGCTTCTGTCGCGCCAGCTGCGTCCGGTGTGAACGCAGCATTAGTCATTCGTTGCGTTCGCCTGTCTGCTATGCTCAAAACAACCGCGCCTGGCTTGACGGAGAAACCAGGAGAACAGCTGTGCATATTTACGACAGTGCACTTTTACTTTCGCCCTCTGGGGGGAGCCTCGCTGGAAAATCAACACCGGTTGCATAGTGTACCTTTAACATATCCAAATGAAATTTAACTTAAAGTTCAATAGACATTTTATTTTTATTTTTTTTCTATGGCAGTAACTTAGTCGGGTCTCATAAAACATTTTTGTGACAATGATTGAGTTCTATGTATATCAGTATTTGTTATTTTTGTCTTTAAATATTTGATTTTGCTTAGTTTGTTAGTAAATATAGCCTCTCTGTATACATTTACCATAACAACATTATGTGACCAGGTCACATAGTGTCACATAGTGTCAATGTGCATGCGTGCATGCAAGCAATGGAGACCTGCCAGCGAGTGTGGAACTCCCAATATAGTTGCTATTAAAGAAAAGTCCAAAATCTGGTGTAAAAAGGCACAAGATGTTTGATTCCAAGTTGGATAAAACTTGAGTTGCGCTGTGAAAAAAGTCTGACCGTTGAAGTAGCTAAAGCTCAGGAAGCATTTTGATCTCACTGCAAATCAGAATCAGATTTATTGCAATGTATGTTTGCACTTACAAGGAATTTGACCGATAGCTGATAGATACGTGAGTACATGTCCTTATTCCCGTCCTCAAAGCATTACAGCGTGGTCTTGACTCATTTAGTAGCTGCGTGAAAGGCCGCTATCTGGCTTTCTGGTATTCCAGTGGTATTGCAAGTAGATGGCACCACATCCCTTTATGTCAGCTTATCGCGCACAGAGCTGAGGTTCTATTTAGGCTAAAACTCGATCAAAACACCATCAAGAAAGACACTTGGGGTATATAACCATATTTTATTATAATCAAATGGATTCTGGCCTTATTGGTTTAGGCTTATATCATGGGTATTTGGCTTGGTTCAGAATTTGTTCTTTCAATTACAGGAAGTTGTAGAAGAAAACTGGCCTTTGATTATTAAACCATCCCACCCCTTTCTGACTGTCAGAGTGATGATCCTTCTCTGAAATGCTCCGAAATGTTTTATATAGGATGTTCGTTCTATAAGTTGACTGAATATTTAACCCAAAGTCACTTTAGATCATTATGTTTTGATCAATCTAAGTGTGGCTTTGGTTTGCAGTGGGTGTGGCCTTGAATTACCCCCATAAAGACCATTTCCTGAGTCTATATTTAGTAATGAACCCCAATCTTAACTTAGACATTTCAGTACTTTGGTGTTTCTGCTCAGATAACTCCTAAAGAAGTTTCCAGTCTATTCTTGGTGTAATAGTTACAGGCCAGCCATGCCAAGGAAGGTTCATCAATGTTCCATGTTTTCTTCTTCTGTGGATAATAGCTCTTACTATGGTTTGCTGAACCCTTACAGAAAGCTTTTGTAACCTCGGTCTGATGCGTACCAACAGCTTTTTAGATAATTGTCTTCTAATCTCACAATTAGTCCTGTATAATATATCAATAAAATCCAATTATTGGATTGACACAAACACTGTTGGTGTTTAAAAGTTATTATATTGATTTAGTTCACTTAAAGAAAGTCAGACTATTCTATTTATATCCCGTTTAAGCATTCTTCTTCTTGCTCCGGTGCTTTATCAAAGTGGAATACTACACTTTGCTCCACCTTTGGCTTCCATGATGTGTCAAGTCCTAAAATGACGTAGACGGCGACTGTCCTCTATGTCCTTTGCTAAAGATGGAACTCCTCATAGAGGTACATTATGTAAAGCATGCTCCTTATTTGTAAATGAGTGGCATATGGTGCTGGCTAATAGAGCTCTGAAGCAATCACCCAAACAAACAAAACAACTATAAATGGTTTGTCATCCGTAATCTGCCTCAAAGGGCTACAGTTAAAGCGCAGAACAAAGCTTACTTCAAAAAACACTGATCTCTGTGGGATCAGGGTTTTTTTTCTGTCGTTTTAATAGAACATGTCACATTCCTACTCCCCAGCGTCAGCAGTCTTACAGAAGGATGAAAACAAACAAGATCTCCAAAAAAAG